TTTTTTTTTTTTTTTTTTTTTTTTTTTTTTTTTTTTTTTTTGCTTGGGAACTACAATATAGAAGCCAACCTGTAAATAAACGAAAATCTTTCGTCGCCTTTAAATGAGCGTTTTGTTAAACAATTTCTTGCATACCTATCATAGGTTCTTTAAAATTTATATTTTCTTAATCTACCATAAGTGACATTGTTAATGGATGTCACGGTTATGTTTATCACTTTATCCATCCATATAAGTTCTGTTTTATTAAGACTATGTTATGGCACTAGTTGAAGGTATATGAACGAATTTGAAAAATTGAATTTGCGACTAGCTTTCAAACCTACCTACACAGGGAAGATATATTACTCCTCATGAACACAATTTCAAAAAAAAAAAACAGACGTATTTGTATTATAATAAAACAAATTAACTATAATTTAATTCTATTTAAAAAAACAGTTACAATATAATGATCTTTGAAAATATATATAAGTCCTTCTCGAAGGACCACTCCCCAATGCGACGTAAAACTAAATCGCACCTCCGTTTCAAAAATGAAAAAAAAAAAAAAATGGATTTCTTGTTTGTTACCTATAAACCGCAGCAGATCGAATGATAAAAATTGGATTAAGCCCATTGAATATTATAAAGTATTATAACATCATTCTTTTGACAAAAATTTTTAGTTTCGTAACCTAAAATTTGGTATAAATTTATGTTTATATTGTACGGAGCAAAGCCGTTTCTCTCGTTCCTTAATCCCACACTTAGTCCTCTTATTTGAAGTATTCAGCGTACGCTAAGTTAAGTTCGTTACGAATAGGAAAGAATATAGGATTGAGAGGATTGTCAGAGTTGAAATACATACATCAACTGTAACTCCCCTGTTAGATGGCAATTGCCATTGCCCTTACCTTCCGGTTGCGCGGTCAACTGGCCGGCAACTCGGCATGTCACCAACGAAAAATCTTTTCAATTATCTAGGGTTAGGAAAATATAAGAAGCTAAGCGAGTAAGATATACTGGCCAACTGACAGACAAGCTTGTCTCGGGTAGACCGATTCTTTCTTTTGTATAGTCTTTAAATGATTGCAAGTAGAATGAGACCATGCTGGGATTGCTTAGTGCTTGTGCGAATCATAGGAATAGTGAGAGCAAGGAAGGATAAAACTTCGGAATTGAATGCATGATAGTGCTAAATAACGTTTTATTTCTGATTCAATATGTAGGAAAACGATGAGTTAATAATTGAACCTTGGAAAGGAATTCCATTCAGAAATTACAAAATAAGTGAAATTCTTTAATTCAATAATATTCAGAGCAAAATGACCCAAATAAAGGACAATCATTATGAATACCCTACACCCAAATTATACCTACTTTCTATATAAAAGCACATTTTTCAAGGTCGTATATATGAGGAACGGCTCCAGAACGCAACCTAATCTAGTAAAAGTTTAATCCTTACAAAGACCAGGGTTCAAAAATAGGCGTAGATGGTCCAAATTTTGTAAAGTTCATTATTTTTATGGAATTATTCTTGTGGATCGATTTTCAGGCAGTATCTAAAAATAGGCGTGGATGACCCAAATTTTGTAAAATTAATTTTTGTATAAAATTACTTTTATGGGCCAATTTTCAGGCAGGATCTAAAAATAGGCGTGGATGACCCAAATTTTGTAAAATTAATTTTTGTATGGAATTATTTTTGTGGATCGACTTTCAGGCAGGATCTAAAAATAGGCGTGGATGGTCCAAATTTTGTAAAGTTTAATGAAAATTACTATAATATTAAGGGTCAATTTCGATCACCACATATTAAAATTTAGACTTTTCTGCTCTACAAGGAGATACGATCCAAAAACTTTTATGTTAAATTGCTCTTTGGGCTACTGCTTAATGAAATCTAGCGTCGACCTAGCTCTACTTAAAGAGAGGTCAATGTGCAAATTAAAACGCAGTCTTTGGTTGGATAGAACTTTTAAAGTCATGAAAGAATCTACGTTTTCCAACTTTTTTGAATCGATAATATACTCGGTAGTGAACGACTTACTTCCTCCTTGAGATAGAAAACATCTTGCTTTTTTTTACATTTCAATGCATCAAATTTTATTAACACCATAATTATTGAAGTCAGCGATTCTAAGCGATTCAATTTTAAAATGGTATTCAATGGAAGTCAATTTAATAAAAAAATTTTAAGTAAACTATAATCGCATTATCTTGCTTAGGTTTTTTAATTGCAACATAAAAATGGATGGGAACAGAAATTTAAATGGTATTACAAATAACGTGTGAGCCTTATTTCCTTTTCTTTTTTTTTTTTTTGATTAGTAATTGCGGTGACCGTAAGAGCGATTACCACCACCACCGCCTCGTCGTCCTGGCATGTTTCCATCGGAGCGTCTCCCTTTCATTTTATTGAATCTGTCGGCCATGTCCCTAAGCTTATCAGGTACATCTTGCCCGGCCTCTTCCAGTATTTTTATTAGTTCAGCAGCCAAACCCCAATCTGAACGCGTTACGTAACTAATCGATGTACCAGTGCGACCAGCACGTCCGGTACGTCCTATACGATGTACATACTCTTCGATGTTACGAGGAAAGTCGTAATTGATAACATGCGTTACATCATCAATATCTAAGCCTCTAGACGCTACATTGGTTGCAATAAGAATTTTCACCTCACCCGATGTAATATCAGCAATAGCCTGTTCGCGATCGGCTTGATCGCGCGAACCATGTATGGCCTGGCAAAGGTAACCGGCGAGAGTCAAGTCACTGGATAGATCATCTGCGCGCACCTTTTTGCCACAAAAAACAATTATTTTATCATCGGATCTCATAGACTTGACGAACGATTTGATCATATCGAATTTTTCGCCTTCCTCCACAACTTCGACTACCTGTCTAACCGAGTGGGTAGCAGCCAAATCCAATGACCCTACACAGACTTGTATCGGGTTACTCATAAAGCTTTGAGCTAAGCGACGCACACCAGGCGGCCAGGTAGCGCTCGTCATTATTGTTTGACGATCGGGACGTATATCTAATAGGATCTTCCGAATTTGTGGTTCAAAGCCCATGTCCAACATACGATCAGCTTCATCTAATACCAAATATGTGACCGTGGTCACATCAATTACTTTGGCTTGTATTAAATCGTTTAGACGACCGGGAGTACAAATTATGACTTCAACACCCTGTTCGACGTGCTGAATCTGATCACGACGATTTCCGCCACCGTACATGCAAACCGCTTTAATTCCCCGGAATGAATACTTATTAGTTTCTTTTTCTATCTGTAAAGCTAATTCACGCGTTGGCGCCAATATAAGAACATTTGGACCGCCACGCTCAGAGCGTGGGATGCTTTGATACTCTATATGAACCAAAGCTGGAAGTAGAAATGCTAAAGTCTTGCCCGTTCCCGTCTGAGCAATGCCGATTAAATCTTCACCTTTGAGCAAAATAGGCCAAGCCTGCGCTTGTATAGGTGAGGGTTTCTTAAATTGTTGTTTCGCTACTTCGGCCAACAAATCTGGGTACTGTCCAAAGCACTGTTCGAATTTCCATATAGGATTTGGTATGTTATCAGGCTCATCATTTTGTTGTTCGAATACTCGTGACACGGTTGTATTGTTATTCTGTAAACGAATTTGGGCTACATCATCCTTATCCATGTTGGCTACCTCGGTATGCTCTACATAAAAATCTTTTGTAAGCGGTGGGCTTTTTGACCAACGTTCTGCTCTTGCCAGTTCAGCTTTTTTATTTAGCGCATTATAATCAATTATAATGTCCTGATTCGCACTATAATTCTCGTTTCTATCATAAGAAGTTTTTGGATAATGATAATCAAATGGGTTATCATCGTCTCTACCATATGAACGATATGCCTGATTGTTTCTATCACTTCTATTATATCCACTACCGTGCGGACGTTGTGACTGATTATTTCCATCATGGCCTTCATCTACTATTTGCCTAATGCGATTTAAAGCATCATTTATCTTGCCCTTGTCGTCGCCCAGAACAGTTACTTTCCCGCGAGACTTATCTGCATCGATTCGAACATTAAAATCCAATTGTAAGCGCTGAATAGTAGAGCCTGCTCGGCCAACAATGCGGCCGATAGATTCCGGACGTACATAGAGCGATTCCTTACTCTGGAAACTGCGGCCATAAGTGCTACCTCTGCCACTATTTCGGTTAATGCAGCTATCTCTGTCTCTACGCCGGCTATCATCTGACCGTCTATTGTCGCCGTACGAGCGTTTTGGAAAGCTTTTTACATTACTCACTTGAGGTTTGTCATCATATTCTTCATCGTCCTCCCAATCAGACATTTTCGAACTTTACAAGATAATTCTTTTATTTTTCTTTATTTTGTATTTTTGAATTGGGCTTTTTTTATGTTGAGGTTAAGAGTATACTTTTTCAA